CTAGCTTGATTGTTTAAGGTCATCAGATCAATTTTGTTAATCTAAAACGACTATTCTGATTGGTAAATGTTCATCCTTTTAAACAGCTTGTGCATGCAACGATGATCGTGATTGGTCATTTTCATTTTGCAATTGATACGAACCGGTGTGTAACGGGGCCCAATGATCCCAGTGGAGGAGAATTGTACAAATCATATAGCTTCATAATAATAATAATAATAATAATAATAATAATAATAATAATAATAATAATAATGATAATAATAATGATAATAATAATAATCTGTTAAGTCCACTCCAATTTTTATTAAGTTAACCCGAAAATGGAAATTCTTTTTGCCCTATTGATCGTGAGCCCGGCAGCCACTGAGTGTATTTAGTCACTTAGTGTACTTAGCAGGAAACAACAAACTGAAATCATGAGACTCTTACGTAACAGACCGGCTAATGGATTAAAAGTCAATGTCTACCCCACCTCATTGACTGCCAAGTTATTTAAAACCTACAATGTTAAATTACAAGAAAGAAATCCAGATATCAGAGATTTCGTAGAACCTTTCTGGACATTTTTTTTTTTACTTTAAACAAATTTATCCAGAAACAGTTAATTGTTTATTTAAAAAACAGGAATAATTCAGTTAACAAACGGAAATTGTCATTATCAAGTTGGTTTTATTGGATTTTTTATTCATATTGGTTCATGTAATATGTATTTTGATTTTTTTAAAGGTGAAATTCAAAGAAAATCACAAATATGTCAACTAATGTATCACTAGAAACTAGTAAGCTAACAGATGGCCATCGTACATATTTTAGGTCAACTACATATCGGGTTCTTGTAACTTTACGAAGACTAGGCCATATTTCTTATCATTTTGATGATTCCAGAACCTTGCAGTACACACCAATACTTATATGCTAGATGATCAACCTTTTTTGATCGATTTCACAACGTTTCTTTCACAATGCAATCGCATGACCATAACTGGTCTTTACCTTTAATTAACAATCAACGAAACCAGACTTTCAAATTAAAACCCCCCCGGAATAATATTAAGGACGGCATTTGTTCCTTCTTGAAACGCCGAACATACCGCGGTGTGTGCAGCTGAATATACAATGGCGTCTTATTTTGTCAAGCGACAATTCCTTTATTTTTGTATCGCTGCATTTGTCATCAAAATAAAACCATGCACGGGGTTTAGAGTGAGGCATTTAGCCTGACGGTAGTGAAGTAAGAGAAGATGAAAACACAGGCACTGAAAATGTGTGAGATGTCATGGGACATCGTCTGCTTGTGCCAATCATGTCCATACTGTGATCTCACGCATCTCAGCATATGGTAATGATTCTCACATTTAAGAGCACAAGAGGGCAGCAACGCGATGTCATTAAAAGCACACTTCAGTAATCTTAAAAATGGAAAGTTTCCAACTAGCAATGAAATATGTGATGCAGTAGAGAACTCAACAAAAGTTGAAGATGAAAGAGCTAAATTAAAGAACAAATTGCCAAAACATTATAAAAAGTGGGAACATTTTACCCCTTAAAGCAGGGGAGCTGATTGTATATATATATATATATATATATATTCTTTTTAAATAATTCTTTTTAGTATCTTTTTTAATCATTTTTTAATTCCTGCTCACTTCCTCATGTCTTCATCGATCCTAACACCTATCTATTATCGTTGTTTGCTTGATTTTTTTAATGTTTTTTTTTTTTTAAATAACGGTATAGTTACAAACTTCTACTGATACAAGACCGTCATATAATTATAATAAAATATAGGAGTTAAAAAATTGCTTCATGTCATTTTATGTAAATATAACAATTGGTTTATTATGGGTTATGAAGCAGCACCCTTACATTATGCTTTTTGTTTATATTAGAACATTTTTATTCAGATTGCTTAATTTATTTGAACTAATTAATTTGCATATAAGATATATTTATGCTGTAAAAATTGTTCCATTTTGAAATGTATCCGATAACATTAATATTTCTCCCAAATTGCAGAATTGTATAACACTTTGTACACTTGATTGAATATGTACTGAATTAGTTTGGATACTTATGGAAGATATTTTTTAAAATATGTCTGTGTATATAATGTATGAGACAGCGTACTATGTTTTCACTGTAAGAACAATGATGTTCCTATATATAATTTTGTATAATTTTTGAAAATCTGAATAAAGGCGAAAAAGCTATACCAAAAAACAACAACACAGCGGGCTCCATAATTTTGCGACTATCAGCATTTGGGTCAGGTTTGTTGCTTATTTTATCAATATTGTTCCGTTTCGTACAACATCAGTGATATGCACTGCACTCGTTAAAATCACAGTGAGCCGAATGATAAACTCGACAGGTATCATTTATTATCCGATTTTGACATAACCTGCGTTAAGTGCATATTAATTCATAATACACTACCAAACATAAATCATTTGGGTAATAACATCGTATACTTGTATATGTTGTGACATATTGTTGGTATAAAGCGTTATCAGCGTCATTATGATCACATTTTAGTGTTGTTTTTACTGAGCAATAGGACATGAAAACAAAGTTAAACAACAGATGCATGTGAATTAGTTCATTTAACAATCTATCTTAAGAATCCGTCAGACTGAGTACGAAACGTGCATAAACAGCATCAACAAATCGGAAAATTTCTAGACGGGAAACTGCAGATTTTGAAGGGTTTGTTTTAGTTTGTATTTATTCAAATAAGAGTGATTTCAATAGTTGTTTTAATATGCTGACAATTTTGAAAAATATTATCAGCTGGTGTTTGTTGTGTTTCATTCTCCTTCAATTACTCTGTATTCATTGATTCAAAATAGCATCGGTATATTAAATGGTGCATTGTGTGTCGCCATTGTATTTAGGCTGCCTTGATTGTTTTTGTGTGCTGCGCTTCTATCATTGTATTTTCATCAGATTATATGAAAAAAGATAGCCTGCTTAAGTTCGTAAAAGATTTAGAGAAAAGACCAACAATATTAGAATCAATCATACTAAGACAATAACTATGCATGGATTTGGAGTGTGCAATGATAAAATATATTAAAATTTCTCGTTCTTCAAAGCTTACACATGTGGGCTTATTGTATATGTTCTTGGTATTAATAGAGGCGCAAATACGAATTTTGCAGGGGAAAGGAATACTAGTGAACAAGGAAAAGTAAAGAGAAAAAGAGAAAAGACAGAACAAGATAGAGAGCAGAGATCAATGAAGGGGGCGGGTGAATAGAGGGAGAGAAAGAGAGAGAGAGAGAGAGAGAGAGAAGGGGGGGGGGGAGATAAAGAGGAAAAGGTAAAGAGGAAAAGACACAAATAATGAAAGAAAGAAATAGAAGAGAGTGAATGAAAGAAGAAGATCAGAAAAAAAGGTGTGTGTACACAAAAAGTGAGGGAGCAGAAAAGAATAAAAGGGGAAATGGTTCAGAGAAGAAGAATAGAATAAAAAGGGGAATAAGAACAAAAATCAAAGTGTGTACAAATAAAATTAATGTTGGAGACAGCTGACAAAAGGCTCCCCTCTTATCTTTCCTAGTAGCATCTCATTGCAAATGTAATAATAATTATATCTGTATAGCACTTAATATGTAACGTTTCTAAGAGCTGTACATATATTTTGAAACACGTTAGTTTGATATTAATTGCTATTTCATCAGACCATAATGTTAAATTTACCTATCAACAATATGTTTCAATTTGCTAGCAGCGATGCCTGACCTAAACATTAAAGAAGCAAAAGTATGGGTCGGGTTTTCGGAAAGATCGTAGGCATTGCAGAAACTGTACACACAAAAGCTCGTAAGCCCGAATTCGGCAATTTTGTGGGGGAAATGACCTGACCCGGAAATATTTGACGTGATCCTCGCGCATGTGCAAAGCGTAATTACGAACAGTTTTATTGCGATAGATATTTGTGACAGGCGCATCTTTATAGAAGCAGATTTTCTTTTAAAGAAATGGATGGTGAAAGCTTGAGCAAAATATAATTAAAATTATAACAAAATAGGGCCTGCACGAAACTCTGTCCGACCTGAGTTCAGAGTGTGCAGTTTTTTTTTTTACTTCTTTAATGTATTCATACTCCTTATTCGTTTGTCCATCAAAAGCTGGCTGAACTTGGGTTTTTCGGTATTGATTTTAAACAATGAAGCTGTACACACATTGATATGTTTTATTATTAAACAAATTACAATTAATATTATCATTATCATCCTTATCATCATTATTTGTTCGTTTATTATTATCATTAGTCGAAGTATTATTACTACTGTTATATGTTATTGGTACACTTTAATTAATCAAAATCAATTCAGGCGATCGAATGACCCCTTCCTTTGATAAAGCCAATTCAATTAAATTATATGGAGTGTGAAGTCAGTCATTGAGTTAATAATAGCACTTTACAAAATTAATACATACAAGGTGGTGGATTTAATTATAATTATCTTATTTTCATTCATATCTTAAAGATACTAGGCAATAATTGTTCAGGCGTCCTTCGGTATATAATCATGATATTGAAACCAAATTAGTAATAGATGAAACACGGTAAAGTCAGGTCCATATCCACAATCAGTCAACAATTTATTGTTACGGCTCAATATTCAACAAAAATTCTCATTATACACGGATTTAATTACAGAAATGACAAGCGGAACAGAATTAATGTATGGTTATGATAAATTTTAATTAATCAAAATATAAACACTCTTCAAGGGCGAGCCAGTAACCTCGCCACTTCCTTTCTCATCCTCACTAAACATCAACAATTAACACTAATTAATTGAATGCAGACAATAGGGTCAGACAAGCGGCGCATATTATGCACCAGCGATCAGTGGTCATTTTATAGACAAGGTGGGGCGTGGCCAGAAGCGTTGAATCCTTTTTTGTCTCATTGACCTGATCACGTGACCTGTGGTTCTTTCAACTGACCTTTCATCGTTTCAAGATCATTTTTCATCGGGACTCGTGGAATGGTGGTTGTGTGACGATTGTCTCTCGCTTCTTGCTTACAATCGGGTGTTTATCATCACGCCATCCAACAATGCTAGCTATTATCATGATACTCGTTTCTTTGGCCAGCGCCATGCAACCTACCGGTAAGTTTATAATCGTATCCCCCATCCTCCTGTTTCTGTCTCTCTCCCTTTCCGACCAACTAATCTATCACCCCTCCACCTCTCTCTCTCTCTCACTCTCTCTTTCTATTTATCTTGCTAAATATTGTCCACCTCTCCCAATTCCACTCCTTCTTCTTTTTCTAAACCCCTTCCCTCTCTTTCTTTCTTTCTGTCTGTCAATGTCTCTCTCTCCATGCTGATTGATACGTATTTCTACGTATCCGGACACCTGCCCCCTGGACATCGACTCCTGGATAACCACCCCAGTCAATTACCCCTAGGACAACTACCCCCTAGGACAACTACCCTCAGACAACTTCCCCCAGACAACTACCCTGAGCAACTATCCCCCGGACAACTACCCCGGACAACAACCCCCGGACAACACCCCTGACAAATATCCTCTAGGATAGTTGACCGGGAGGTAGTTGTCCTAGAGGATGGTTGTCATAGGGGGTAATTGTCCGGATGGTATTTGTCCGGGGGTTAGTTGTCCTAGGGGATTGTTGTCCGGGGAGAAGTTGTCCGGGGTAGTTGTTTGGGAGGGTAGTTATCCAAGGGTTAGTTGTCTCAGGGGGTAGTCGTCCTAGAGGGTGGTTGCCCTAGGAGGTAGTTGTCCTACTTGGGATGGTTATCCGGTGGTGGTTGTCCAGGGAGTGGTGTCCTAGGACCGTATTTCTGATGTGCACCATTTTAAATGCTAAGTCTTGTTCAGTGTCATTTGTTAATGAATAGCCTATTCTATTAATACTGTACTTAGTGCGGGCCTCGCAATTTTACCCTGACCACGGCTTATATCCAACCTACCATGATAAGAACCCCCACGCCCCACGCCCTAAGCCCCCAAGCCCCCATGCCCAACGCCCCACGCCCCACGCCCCACGCCCCCTACGCCCCCAGTATTTAAGAAAATGTATTCCTATGTTCTTTCTCCTTCATCTGGGTGGAGTGTTAAAGGTACTATTTCCCTTTTGCAGCCAACCTCAAATTATGTAGAACTTTGCAGGAATTATGAAAATGTCATGTATGTCCTATCTGTGAAATTTAAACGTTAGCAGTTTCCTAATATTCAAATTATGCAAGGAAACCCGTTAACAGCTAGACTTCACTGTCAGACACTATTGAGTGAGTGACTGGCTTTTTTCTTCTTTGGTAATAACATACATAAAATGAGCTGTAGAGGGTACATGAGCATCTGTCTACATCAATAACCCACTTCTTGTAATGGCCAAAATTAAAAGATTGAATCTTTGCGCAGCATAAAACGTACGACCATTCAGTACAATGGTCTGAAAATCAGACTTTTACTTATTGGCTCTATAGCTCCTAAGTCGATTTGACAACTAATAGTCGTTATTTTCCCACTTAAAGACATTTTCAAGCCCCCTATTTGTTAGGGAAGTTCTAAATTAGTATTATCTTTCAAATGCTGTTGGAATTTAAGCTTTTCATTTTTTGGCCTGCAAATGGGAGATAATACCTTTAAAATGTAGTTTAATGACTTGCCAAAATACATTAGTACTACTGCAGGACACGAACCACGTGACCCACAGTCCTATGACGTATCCACCAGACCATGATACGTATTCAAAGACATTGTGATAGTTACCAGATTGGGTTAGACCTTCTTTTTCCTGTTCTAAAATAAGTGAATCGAGAAGCATTTCTAATATTGAATGACAGAGCACATGGAGAAGGTTTATAATGTTATCATTATTTATTTTCTGTCGTAAAGATGGGGCGTGCCCCACTGGATGGGACAGCGTAGGACCCGGATGTTACAAGTTTACTGTCAGTTCATCCATGCAAGACGTGATGAAATACCCAGAGGCTTCATCATCATGCAACTCTACTGGAGGAAAACTTGTAGTTTTCAACAGCAAAGATGAGATGGTAGAAGTAGGTAATTCATTGTACGTACGGGAACATATGGAGCGCACACATGGCTCCGATTATTACTTATGGATCGGTTGTACGGACCAGGCCGTAGAGGGAACCTTCGAATGTGAAGACGGTACGCAACTAGCTCTCGACAGTGGTAAGTTCACCCATTAGCCCAAACAAAAATTGTTTGGTTGTCCTCGATTGCTATTCTGGAGTAGGGGCGGGCGGGCGGATTTTTTTTTCTTTTTAACTTCATTTTTTGTGTGTCTTTTTTTGAGTTTGAATTTTTTTTCCCCCCATTTTTTAAAAAATTTTAAAAGTAATTTTTGTTCCATTAAAAAAAAAAATCATTTGGATTGTCAAGCATTTAAAGAAACAAAGTCTATAAAACACTTTAATATGGTAAAAGACTAGTTTAATGTACAATGAATATCAAAACCATTACAGAAAGTATTTTAGGCTTTGATATACAGCACCTTTTAAATCTCCATTGTACTACTTATAGCTACTTGCGCCCTCTATGTAGCAAACAATGCCTAATCGGTGACCATTGGTCCCCCATTATCCTCTTTATCTTATATTAACTGAGCGCTGATTTGATGAGATAACCACCTGTCCAGTAACCTTGCAGGATGGTTTAATCCCTACTGTAAACTAGTACAGATGGGTTTTAAAATAAGTTTAAGAATGCTCACTACCTGATTTGAATGAACGACATTTTGACATAGCAAAGTGAAAATGGCAAGTGTAATAAATACCTAATTGCGTACTGAAAAGACAAAACTGGCAACGGGACGCATTTTGATCCTTGCAAATGCATAAAATGGTATGTATGGCATTTAAGATTGCTCCCCCCAAAAAAAATTAAACTTAAAAAAAAATAAAAAAAAAATACGAGCGGCCCGAAAATGACGAGCGGGCGGTCGAGGACAACCAAATGAATTTTTTTTTGGCCTTAAAAAAAATGTAAGCATAGAAAACAGCCACGCTATCATAATCTTCTTATATAACAAATACATCTTTCTTTTATATAATAATAATAATAATAATAACTTTTATTTACCCAGGGTAGCCACTTCAGTTATGAAACTGATCTTCCAGCGGGCCCTGCATAACATAATATGTTATTACTACCCTTCTAATATGCTGAGCACCTAGCTAGAATGCAGAAGGTCCCATTGTTATAAGTCTTTGGTATGACTCGGCCGGGGTTCGAACCCACGACCTCCCGTTCATGAGACGGGCGCTCTAACGACTGAGCCACCATGCCCGGTTTTCGTTTAATTTGTTGCCTTCTATTTGTAATCATGTTTAATTATTTCATGGTTGTTTTGATTTTAAACTCGGTGCGTCTTGTCTTCACTTTTCAAAATTAGAAGAAATTAAATAATTTCATAACCGGAACATCTTGTAGCAAAATTGTATTGTAAAATCAAAAATATAATTGAGACTACCCTTTTAAACGATTCCTTCATTTCTTCGTAACGTTTTAATGACGATCTAACCTTTTCAATGAGTTCATGTGAAATAAAGCATAAAAAGGAGAACCAGAATAGAGAAAGCTTGAAATAAATCTGACCAAATAGTATGGTAAAAATGCAAATTCCCTATTTTTATCCGAATTTTAGTATGGAAATTTGGACTGTGGATTGTGATGTATTCACAACTCTCCCGTTTGTTGTGTAATAGCATTATAAGTTCCCCTCCTTAGGGACAATACTCAAAATATACTAATACATCACATTATAATATAGATCCTCTAAAAAGGAAATACCATCCAGAATATTAAATTTCAATCACCTTGTGTGTTGAAGCAAATGAGAATACGATGTCCGCCACTATACTGATCCCAATGACTTCATCGATTTGAATTCCCGTACGAATAGTAATTGCACGTTTTTAGAAAATTCGCAACATTCTTAAAAGTTGTGCGATTCCTTTCAAACTTTCACTATCCAATTGTTTCGCTTTCTTTTAGACTAATTGGCTATTATGGTTGGGTATTTCTTCAAAGGCCGGGTATTCTGTAGTGATTCTATTTCAGATTTACGTATACTGCCATCTGCTGCTCACAATGTAACAGTGTATGGATAACCGTCATGCGTCCCACAATGCAAATTACACCGATGACTTATGTCCAATTCTTGTTTCTATGCGAAGGTGATTTTATTTCATAATTTGATATATGTTATACAGAACAAGAATACATAATAGTGTTTGTTCCTACAGACTTGTGGAGTGAGGGTGGACAACCAACGAGCGCAGGTTCCGGAGGTCGCGTCAATGACTGTGCTTACTACTACCGACCTTATAATAGCTTGAGAGATTGTTATTGTGAACCTTCGCAAGCAGCAGCATTCTGCCTATGCGAAGGTAATTATATTTGATAATATGACAAATGTTATACAGAACAGGAAGACATAGAAGTGTTTATATACCTCACTTAAGAAATCCAGCCATCTGATTGGTCGAATTGCATTCATAAACTTCAACTGTTCCTGTAAAGTTCCCGGTTACCATGCTTAAAACATTTCAATATTTTTAATAACCATGGTTATTAAAAAAATAGGTCAGTCTCCATGGTTACCCCATAGGTTTACATGTTAAAAAATGGTTTGAGCGATGGAGGATACCATACGTGTGCGAAAAATTGGTCGGCAATTTCAATACAATTGAATCTCGATCGATCTTACCGACAATTTTATCTTGCATTGTTGACATGAAGACGAAAATAAACTCTCAAAAACAAAAAAACAACATCTGCCGATAGATCTTGATCTAAGTTCGTGCCAATATGCATTGCAAAAGTAAAAGAAGGGTTCGTTTCATGGAGCTTTTGCGAAGCATCCCTCACGCGGAGCCGTTTTCAATCCATTTTAATGTATATATTGGAGAAAACTGCCAAGCATGTTAACGGCGCGCGATAGCCGAGTGGTCTAAGCGTTGGTTTTCGATACACCTCTTGTTGTACGCAAGAGTTCGAATCCCGTCTTCGACAAAAATGTAAATTATTTTTTATTTTTTATTTTTTAGTCTATTTTTTTTCGGCATATAAAAGTATTAATGACTGCTTTAATATTCGAGAAATAGTTGTTTTCATACGCTCTCGGGAAGGTTACAATTGGGCTATTCCCCTCGGCAAGCCTCGGGGAATAGCACAATTCTAACCTTCCCTTGAGCGTAATAAAACAACTATTTCTCTCAAAGCAGTCATTAATACTATATTAGTCAGTTCATGTTTTTCCCTTTTCCTTCTCAAACTTCTTTTCTTTAAAGGCCCACTGCACTACTTGTAGCTACTTGCGCCCTCTATATAACAACCAAAGCCTAATCGGTGACCATTGGTCCCCCATGATCCTCTTTTTCTTATGTTAACTGAGAGCTGAGTTGATGAGATAACCACCTGTCCAGTGACCTTGCAGAGCGCTCTAATCCCTCCTGTAAACTATGGCAGATAAGCTTTAAACAAAATAATTAATCATTCTGCTGCCGCTTTGGCTTCTATTTCTTCATTTTGTCGTCATATTCCTCAATACTATCTTTTCGTTGTCTACTTGCTTTTGCATAAAAGCCATTACAAAACTAGATGATGCCTCCGCCATAGAGTGATTTCACAAACCACAACAGAAGCAATTTTTCAAATTCAAGTTTAATTGTAATCCATTAGCAGGTTCTCAGAATATCGTGATTACAAGCTATTTTGCATAAACATGTAAGATCCGTTTATCTTTGACCTCATGACCCTAAACTCTGATCAGTTCATTGGCTTTGCAAAATACATACAACTGTACATGTCTCGAGTTTGATGGTACTTCGGCCATCGGTTCTAATGATGTGATCACGAGCAATTTTTGCATACATAATGAGCGCCGTGACCTTTGACCTCGTGACCCCAAAATGTAATCAATTCATTGACTTTGTATGGGCGCGTTTATCAAGGCTTGCCACTAAATATGTACATATCGTACCCCACTATCAAACCCCTCTATCGAACCCCACTATACGATCGTGATTTGCGGGATGTCGCGTTTATCGTCCCTTCACGATTCAAAATAAAGGCCTTGTGTCTGCCCAGCTGTTTTGACCCGGGAAGCAGACAGTTTCTCGGAGGTCATCTTCACACACATGCTTGTACACAACACCTGGGGGGGGGGGGGGGAGGGGGGGGGGTCCTATTTGTATGTGAGGTTCAAAACAGCTTTGCGTTTATCGATCTCTCAGAAACGTGATTCTGGCTGTACATGTATGTCACATTCAAAACGCACCTTTTTGCGTCTTTAGATATGCCCATATCTAAAGACGTTTGAAAAAGGCTTTGCGTTTATCAACTTCTAAATTTGCCTGAAAGACGTTTGAGAAACCTGATTCTAGCCAAAATTTGCTAGATAAACGCAACCTAAGATCCATACATGACCTAAGTTTGGCAGGAATCCATCAATCAGTTCTTGAGATAACGCGAAAACATAATGCCTCCGGCTACTTGGTATTAAACGGAGGTATAAAACTATAGTTTTGTACATTTGTGATTACCATTATGTACATCTATCCATATTTGCTCCTGTGCATACTAAACAGTAATGTGTAGATGATTTAATGTGAATGAAATTTGGTTTGAACTATAAATTCCATTCTGAACACGTGAATATGGGTAGCTACGAGTGATTGGCGGAACCGTGTTCGGTTAGTACACGTCTCATGCAGCCTGTTAACAGAACGATAGAATGTAAAGTGGTCGTTGAGTGGTTTTTTTCCAAAAGCTTCACGCGTATCCATTGCGTCCTTGAATTATACGCGCGAGTCGAAATATGGTCAGTTAATATTTTTCATTATACTGCTCAGCAGTCAGAAGCGACTTTCATGTCTGCAGTTTTGACCAATCAGAGACCTAGAATCTTCATCTGTTGTATATAACACAAACTATTGATTGGGCTTTATTCATGCGCGTAGAATACAAGGTTTTCAAAAGCTGGATATAAATTTAATATTGGATGCACGCAGTAGATACACGCACTTTCACTGTGTTCCTAAAATCATTCAATATTCATATTTTTTATATTCGATTTACAAGCAATAACGTCAGTCAATTTTTTCAATACAGTTGAGCCTTTGACTCAAAACCTGACAACTCAGACTCCTGCACAGACTACCGCCCAAGTACCGACCACTCAGACACCTGCACAAACTACCAGCCAAGTATCGACCATTCAGAATCCAGCACAAACTACCAGCATAGTCTCGACCACTCAGAATGCTGCACAAACTACCAGCATAGTCTCGACCACTCAGAATCCTGCACAAACTACCAGCCAAGTATCGACCACTCAGAATCCAGCACAAACTACCGCCCAAGTATCGACCACTCAGAATGCTGCACAAACTACCAGCATAGTCTCGAACACTCAGACACCTGCACAAACTACCAGCCAAGTATCGACCACTCAGACCGAAGCACAAACTACTAACCATGTTTCGACCCCTCCGACTCCGGCCACAGATACCAACCATGTTTCGACCCCTCAGACTCCGGCCACAGATACCAATCAGGTAAGTTAAGCCCCTGTCAAATGTAACCGCTAATAGTAATAACATGCATCCACATCGAACCTGCAATTTTCCTTAACGTTGTTTCACTTCTCTGAATTCGTGCCAATAACACAGGTTTCAAATGAAAGGCCAAAAAGTGTTTTAAAATTGTTTCACTTTGTTGTGCAAAATTGTGTTTTTAATAGCGGCAGCGTTTTGATTTAATTTGTATCATTTATTCAGGAATTCGCTACTACCGTCGCTGATGAACCATCCCATGAAACTTCTACTGGAGGTGATTTTATTTTATTATTTTATATCATTTATCTAATTTCTAGGCAAAGTTATACAAAAAACGTAAAGAAACAACCACCGACTATTGCCCGAGGATATCTCAGAACAATCATAGCATGTTTGAGAGATACGAGGTCATTGATGATATTGCTTTGCAAAGGGGGTCTGTTTTCTGTATTAAGAAATGTTTATATTTATATGTTTCAATCCCTTTCATATTGTTTCATATTGGATAATGAAATGATTTTCTTCAGAATAAAAAGAAATTATGAAACTTTTAGTCGACAACAAATTGGGAAAATTGCTCTAATATTTACAATATTTTTGTAAACAAGTTCCGTTTTGAGAAGAGTCATCATGATCATACTATTATTTTTATTATCATCATCACAGTAATATATATACAGAGTGATTGAAATTTAATATTCTGGATGGTATTTCCTTTTTAGAGGATCTATATTATAATGTGATGTATTAGTATATAATTTTCTTATTCCTCATCACCATTTTATTTATCGACGATTCCTCGAATGCAGTAACGGGCGTTACCCGAGCATGTCAACCGAGCAAACACCATTTGAAATCAAGCGTCTTCAGCCGAGTCAAGGACAACGAGGGACGCAATCTGATTGGCTACTGTCTCACTGATCACGTGATGGAGACCGTGCAAATGGTGAGCCTGATACGGTGCAGCATGATGTGCAATGGCATCGCAGGATGCAAGTCATTCAATTACAAAGGTGGTGTTTGCGAGCTGAATGATGAGAGCAAACAGAGTGTAGGTTCTAGATACTTCGTTCAGTCTGATGGGTGCACTTATTATGAACTAGCTTGATTTTGGAAGGTCAACATAAGTCCTTAACACAAGGGTTTGCGATGAATTTTGTTAATTTAAAATAACGATTCTGATTGGTAAGTGATCATCCTTTTAAACAGCTTGTGCATGCAACGATGATCGTGATTGGCCATTTTCATTTTGCAATTGATACGAACCTTTGCGTAACGGGGTCGAGTAATCACAGAGCAGGGGAACCAAAACCTTCACACTAAGTTACTTTTATTGTAAATTTTAAGATATTTGAATAAAATCAGTAAATATTTGAACAAAATCGGGCTAGGAATAAGGAAGTTAAAGCTTTTTGAAATGACCAGTTACTAGAGGGCGATATTCAATTTGATGATATCATTTGCGGAAAACTCTCCATGCCTTTAGTACATCAAATTTCACAATTCTTTCGTTTTCTTCGTATATATTTGTGTTCTTGATCAGACTTCATAACATGTGAAGTAGAATATTATTTTGCATTTTATACCTTGCTTTCAGGGGAGTAGATTATCTCAATCACAAGTTGATGTAGAAATTCGCATTCTCAAAGGAAAATTAACCTCTCGGCTATGAGGCAGTATCATGACATATTATATAGCAAAACAACGTTTCATTTGATATAAAAAGCATTGCTGTAGGCCAAATAATATTGTCTTGTAAGTACACTGTTAGAAAAAAATTAAACAAGTTGTTTAAAACTTTAAACAACCCCGAGTTAACCGGTGAATCGCTCAACTGTTGTTTAAAAATTAAACAAATTAAGGTTGTTTACATTTTGAACACTTATTTGTTTAAAAATTAGGAAACCTTTTAAACAACAGTTGTTTAGTAATAAAATTGCACAACTCGGTTGTTTAAAGCAAGTTGCTTAAATTTTAAACAATAATGTTTAAATTACTAAGCAACTGTTGTTTATTCAGTATTACTGCACAACTGGGTTGTTTAAAAGGAGTTTCTTAAATTTTAAACAGAACTGTTTAATGGTTATTATCTGGTTGTTTGAATTTGTGAAATGACCTACTGGAACAACTCCTGCAATAATCACAACGATTTATACACTGTAACATGCAGAGCTTGTTGCCAATTTACTTCAACATTTGTTCATCATATTCATGGCAGTGACAGACAACATTATTATTTGTCTCTAAAACTTCACCTAAACCCCATCGACGAAGCCGAGGAGAACCAAGTCGTCGCCTTGCCCCGTGTTCCGCCATTTTCCTCTGCACTGCACTGCACACTAGCACTGCATGCTTGCATGCATGTATTATGTACGTAGTTTGTGCATATCGCATGTGTGTGCGCGAATTGCAATCGCGTATCGAGAAAATATCAACGACGCCCCCGGGACTTTTTAAACAACTCTGTTTAATTAAATCTTCTTCTTTTTAATAGATAGTTGTTTAAGCCAATCGAGCACTGATTTTTCGATTTTGAACAACGTTGTTTACTTTTTTAAACAACATTCTTTTAAACAGTGATATTTTAAACACCGTTCTAACAGTGTACAATAAAAAGACCCTACTTCACTGTATATGCAACGTCGTCAAGGAAGCTGCCATGTTCAGATTTCTCTTTAAAACTTCCGGGCTGTGACGTATCGCAAGGAGAAATGATGTAGGGTGCGACGCGCACGTTATATGCAAGACACGTCATGGTGTAATGAAACGGATGTAATCGAATAATTTTTCCTCGAAAACCAAGGGGAAAATCGTTTTATCGGTTTCCAGACCAACACAATCGTAATGAAACGTTCAAGCTATAGGTAGCACTCTGGACAAAGAGTACACGTACGACAGGAAAAACGATGTGTTCTGTAGTGATAATTTTACAATTTACAGCATGGAAACGTACGTACGCAAAAGCGATCGAATCCATGCGATACGTCACAGAATGGGCCGTGCGCAAACACAATGGCGAGGTTCTGAGCCGCGAAAGACGAAGTATTCTAAAGATAAGTTAAGTCCTCCCTTTCATCAATTATATGATGCTTTACATTTTTCAGATAATGTTTTTAATGGTCTACAAACTGAAATCAATATGTAGTTTGAGGTTAATTCCCCTTTAAAGCTTACAAGCATGCTCTATACAGTATGGCCCGAATTTACAAAGGAGGTTTGTAGACAAACCTAGGTTTATGTGCGTCATATGACGCGTTTTTACGCGTTTTTTTTACAAACCTGGTTTGTAAAAACGCGTCAAAACGCGTCATATGACGCAAGTGAATTTGGGCCCATATGTTCTTGTTCAGAGAACCACAAAGGAGAACTCTGCTGGGAAAAGGAATACGATTGAACAAAGAAAAGTAAAGGGAGAGAGAGAGAGAGGAGTGAGAGAGAAGGGGGATGTGAAAGAAAAGGGAAAAAGGAAGAAAACTAGCTTTATCAATGATAGAAAGTGGACGGGAGAAGATCAGAAAGGAAGCGAAGTTGTATACACAGGAGATAAAAGAGCAGGAAAGAATGAGATGGGGGAGATGATTTAGAAAAGATGAAAGAGCAGGAAAGAATGAGATGGGGGAGATGATTTAGAAAAGATGAAAGAGCAGGAAAGAATGAGATGGGGAGATGATTTAGAAAAAATAAAAGAGCAGGAAAGAATAAGATGGGGGAGATGATTTAGAAAAGATGAAAGAGCAGGAAAGAATGAGATGGGGGAGATGATTTAGAAAAGATAAAAGAGCAGAATAACGAGACAACATCAAAGGGTGTTAGAACAAATGTTGGAGTCAGCTGAGACAAGGCTACTCTCTCTTTCTTTCGTGGTGACATCCCATTCAATATTTGATAAGAATTATGTATAGCGTTGTTGCAGTATTTAGAAGCCATTTACATTGTAATTACTATTACCCCGGTCTTTCAATTGCTAATCAGCTCATGATAATGCACACGTTCCGCTCCCTGGGTAAAATTAAAGTCACATACCAATCGAATTACATTAACCTTCGCATCCTACTAAATACCAATTTAAGAGATGGTAGGACAGGGGCAAATGAAGATTAATTACTTACCAAAAGACAGTAGTGCCGCATCGCGTATTTTTATCGAACCGCAAACCATTTGATCCACTATCGGTTGCATTGAGTCGTGGATACTTTTGTTGTACCAACTAATCACTAATGTCAATTTTCTCCTAAAATTAAGTGCCTCCTCTCTTGGGGCACTGCTCAACATAAATCATGGATACAGGTCTTATAAGGAGAAGAAACTATCCTGGACCATATATTTTTTGTTTAACTAATATTAATAATAACTAATATTTTAGTTGTATTGTGCTTTGGAACAAATGGGAAAGTTGTCCGCCACTACTTCCGGTAGAAATTCCTTGAATACTTGAGTACCTATTCACGGTAGCTAATACTGATTAGGCTACCCATGGAAAACAAGAAATTGTATTGTAGTGGTATGTTGATTTGGGCAACAGATTGACCTAAAGGGGGCGCTAGAGCCAAAGAGGAGCCGGGCTGGGTTGATTAATTGTACGGTTATTAGTTTGACTTGGTATACATTTAAAAGTTAAATAGCATTAATTATGTTTCCAATACTATGCCGGGATCGGGTAAACAACCCCTGGCTTTGAATTCCTGCATTAGATTGAAGTGTTAATTTCGATAAGCACGTTGGAAATTAATTTCTGCATTAAGATGTACAGGTGTTCATTTCCAATAAACACGTGAGACAATAGACTCTTTTTCCGGGAACCTGACATTCTCGCGAAGAGATAGACTCCTCCCATTTTTGTCGGTGACTAGTTCAAATTACTCATATCTATCAAGCTTTGTCATTGGTTATAATTAATTAAATGTATAACTTCTCTCTTGATTGGTCGGATGACCTAAGGGTAATTGTATATACCTCATCTTGTAATTGGTTGTCTTCGTAAGGGTCCTCCTGGTTGGCTGGTAATACAATGTGATATCTAAGCCTCATCGGGTGCCGCAGTATTTAAATGTCATTTGTAACTACTTCGTTTGTAACTACTGGAGCTTCGGCTTACTTTTATAATTAATAAAGTGGACTTTAACTGTATATCCGAGCTTCTTTCGTTTTCATTTTGTTTCTGAACTTGTAGTCACCAACCCATTAACGGGCCAACCACAGTATTATGGTCGTTATCATTATTATTGTTTTTTTAAAACAATTATCACAGAGATAAATGATTAATGATAAAACGGCTTGTCATAAGCTCGCGCCAGCTCGCCACAACTCGAGGCTCCAACTCGGCTAAGTGGGAGCCCTGCTTAAGAAACGTCCGTAAATTTGAAAACAGTTACTTGATAAAAGACTTCACACAATAGTCACGTTATCAAGAAAATTGCGATATCCATTTTGTGCTGAGAAACTGTACATTATTCTTGCTGAATGCCTCATTCATACGGCTTCGTGGGGAATCTTGTTGATTGAGCGATATCTCAGTCGGTAGAGCAGTGGTCTCGGAATCCGGTGACCCGGGTTCGACCCAAGTCGATGCGCTAGTGCCCTTTGGTTAGGCATTAATCCTTTATTATCATTAATTCATTACCAGCTGGTCCCTCAAAGAGGACCTAAAGCCGTTGGCCGTCTGGTTGGTTACTTACAAGCATTTATGCTTTCTTAGCAGTCTGGTAAAAAATAACCACCGCCACCAACTTCATATTTATGCGCAAGAATACAATACACCTCTCAGAATAGTTCAAATTATTTCTTGGGGTGAGGTTTCCTTTAAGAGATATCAATAAAGATGAGGTAGGGTTTTACAGAGGTACTTTAAAAGATTAACAATTTGCATTAATCGGCTCACTCATCGCGGGTCATTAAATTTTGTCTGCATGTCCCGCCTGCGTCTTATTTTGTTGTAGTAAGTATGTCCAAGGATCAAACGTCATAGAGGTCAATTTCCATGACTTTTGAATCGGGATAGTTGTTAGGATGTAGGCATGCATAGCCTCACAAATCACGGAGGGTGAAGCCTTTAAAGCCCCACTGTCCTACTTGTAGCTACTTGCTCCCTCTATATAGGAAGCTTCCCCAATTGGTGCCTGTTGGTCCCTCATGATCCTCTTTTTCTTATGTTAGTTGAGAGCTGAGTTAAAGAGATAGCCACCTGTCAGTGACCTCGCCGTGTGGTCTAATCCCTTCTGACCCAGTAGTATTGACGGTCTTTAATACATTTCGTTTATTTAACTCCACCCTCCTAATAACTTGTGAAATGCAACCCCCAATCCCCATCAAGTATGTTAGCAGGAGATATTAACTTATTTGGTTGTTCATCTTAACTTCTTAGGGACTCGTGCAATCCAATT